TTTTTTTTTTTTGTCCTGAGAGAACAGTATCATGCTAATACACGTAATTGTAATATTGCAATATTGATTGAAAAAGTATAAGAGGACTAACGACACATTTAATCATTATTTTCTATATTCAAAAAATACATATTTTACAATACAGTTAATGTAAATTTTCACCTAACATTTTAGGCACACATTTTGCATGGTTATGAAGATATATCTACAGCAAAAATGGGCAAAATATTATCTGAGGATACTATTTATAGGTCAAAAACCTGAAGGAAAGGTCCTTGTGAATAATGTATATGGGTGAGTTTATATGACAAAGATACAACTAAATCAGTTAATGATTTGCATCTCATATGCTTTTGTGTACATGTTTTATATATCATATTGAACAATATTTTTTCCGATTATTATCTATTTTGATAATATTGAATTAAATTTATAAATATGTGTATACCTTGATGGACATTTCCTTCATTTTTGGTCTACAAACAAATATGCCCATACTGTTGATATATTGAATCAACCCCATTGGACAACATGGGTATTTGATTGAATTCAAAACTTTTATGATTGTTACATTACAATAAAGCATACATATGTAACATAATAATTGAAAAAATCATAAATATTTTCTAAAGTTGCTCTTATTCTTTTGAATGCCTAATATTTAAAAGCATATCTTTCTATATTACATTAATATCCTATATATATGTGTGTGTAATTTATATATATTATACTGTGTTTTATTTTTGTAAATATATTACATACACTATATAGACATTATATAAAATTTTGCCGTTTGATTTTAGTTGAAATAAGAGAAATCAAAGAAATTAAAGTAGGAAAGCATTCTAAAGATTTTGAAAAATGGCCAGAAGATGCAAAAAGGATAGAAAATCTTAGATGTTTCGTTGTGTATTATGGTTCTGAATTTCGTCTTAAAACTCTTTCAATTTCTGGTAAATATATTTTTAAGCTTTTATTCTGTTTGTTGACAATGTTATCTAAACTGTGATTTTATAAATGTCTGTTTTTATATATTGATTTTAGCTCTTAGTGAGAAAGAATGTGAACTTTGGGTGAAAGGATTACGTCGTTTGGTTCAAGACACTATAAAAGCTCCTTATCCTTTACAAGTTGAAAGATGGCTTAGAAAAGAATTTTATGCAATGGAAAATTCAAGAGAAACGTAAAAAGCTGTATTTTATATATAATTTTCAATTATTTTTGAGATATTTAATTTGATATTTCACGTTTTATAGAGTTACTTTAAAAGATATAAAAGCATTTTTACCTAGAGTTAATTGTAAAATAGCAACAAACAAACTTAGAGAACTTTTTCAAGAAATAGATACAAGAAACAGAAATGAACTTGGTTTTGATGATTTTGTTGCACTTTATCATAAACTTATCTTCGATCAAAATGTAAGTTTTTGATTTATTCGTATTTCTAATATTCAGATATTCCGTGTTTTCTACTATTTTTTTTATTTTTATAGAATCTTACAGATTGGAATAAATTACTTAATTATTCTAAAACGGGACAAATTGTTACAGTCCAAGAATTTCAAAACTTCTTGATAACTGAACAACAAGATCCTTTAGGAAATAATGAAGTTGAAGTATCATGTTTTATTAGAGATTATTTACAAGATCCTCAAAGAGATGTGCAAGAACCACATTTTATATTTTCGGAATTCATCGATTTCCTGTTTTCGAAACAAAATTCCATTTGGGATCCAAAATACTCACATATTTATCAAGATATGACTAAACCTCTTGCACATTATTGGATAGCATCATCACATAATACGTAAGTATGATTTTTCTTTTATAAAGAAATAAATACTATAAAAATAAATAATCCATTTGCGTAAAATGTTTTTGCAGATACTTAATGGGAGATCAAATTAGCAGTGAAAGTAGTTGTCAAGCTTATGTTCGCGCATTAAGAGCTGGATGTAGATGTATAGAACTTGACTGTTGGGATGGACCAGATGGAATGCCTTTTATTTTTCATGGGCACACACTTACTACAAAGATTAAATTTTTGGATGTTATTAAAACTATCAAAGAACATGCTTTTTCTACCTCTGAGTAAATATAAATAATTGTTTGTTTAACTTCTCATTTTAAAGTTTAAGATATAAATATATTTCTTACGCAGTTATCCCGTCATTTTATCCATTGAAGACAATTGTACTTTACCACAACAACGTAAAATGGCAATTACAATGCAAGATGTATTTGGTGATATGTTATTAGTTCAACCTATAGATAAAAATGAAACTTGTTTACCATCACCACATGCACTGAAAAGAAAAATTATATTGAAACATAAAAAATTACCCGATGGCGTAGAAGAAACATCATTTCTTATTCGAAACGATGAAAGTAGACAAGAAATGGATCTTAGAAATACGGTTAAAAATGGCATTCTTTATCTTGAAGATCCTGTCGACAGAGAGTGGAATCCACATTTTTTTGTATTAACGCAGCAAAAATTATTTTACACAGATACATTTTCCAGAACTCAAGAAACTGAACACGATGACGACGAAGAGGTTGTAGTTCGTCGACCTACCGATGTATGTATACACAGCCAATACGTTTTAAATAAAATTTTTTAATTTTATTGTATCGTATCACTGAATATAGGGAGTACCAAATGACGAATTACATTTTGGCGAAAAATGGTTCCATGGTAAATTAGCAAGAGGTAGAGAAGAAGCAGAGGAATTACTACGACGTTATTCACACCTGGGTGATGGCACATTTTTAGTTAGACAATGTGTCACATTCGTTGGTGATTATTGCCTTTCTTTTTGGCGGAAAGGGAAAGTAAATCATTGCCGTATTAAGCTCAAGCAAGAAATGGGTCAGACACAATATTATCTTATCGATACAAATTGCTTTGATAGTTTATATAGCTTAATTACACATTATCGCAATCATCCATTAAGAAGTCAAGTAAGAATGAACAAAGTTAAGAATTGTAATTAATTTTGATATTATAGTTTTATTAATTGATAATTGATTTTTTTGAATGAAATAAATAGGAATTTTTAATCACACTTCAAGAACCTGTTCCACAACCAAACAAACACGAAGAAAAAGAATGGTGGCATGCCGAATGTACTCGAACTTTAGCCGAAGAAATGTTAAAACGAATTCCTACAGATGGTGCATTTTTGGTGAGACCAAGTGAAAAAGAAAGCAATTCTTATGCTATATCTTTTAGGTAAAACGTTTGAAAGTATTTATTTAGTAACATATAGTAATCGAAAGTGTTTATTTAGTAATATTACAATATTTTCTTTCATTTTTATCTTGTTTCAGGGCAGAAAAAAAGATTAAGCATTGTAGGATTAAACTAGAAGGACGATTATATACTATTGGTACTGTACAATTTGAAAGTTTGGTTGAATTAGTTAATTATTACGAAAGGCACCCATTATATAAAAAGATTAAATTAAGTCATCCTGTAAATCAAGATATTATTAGAAAAATGGAATTGGTACATAGCGTATTTTATATTTTTGTTATCAAGTTATTGTTATTGTTATTGAATTATTTTATCATATTTAGGATATAGATGACGGATCTGTTTATGGTATTCCTGGTTATATGGATCCTACTAGTTTTACGTCAAAAGTAAGTTAATCGTAAAGTAATAGCATAAAAAAAAGTGAAAGATACTTAATTTATTTTAAAGGTGACTGTAAAGGCTATATATGATTATAAAGCAAGAAGGGACGATGAATTAACATTAGTAAAACATGCTATAATAACAAATGTACATCGACAAAGCGGTGGTTGGTGGCGAGGAGACTATGGTGGTAAAAAACAACATTGGTTCCCTGCTAGTTACGTTGAAGAAATAAAACCACAAGAAAATCAAGGAGATGTAAGTAATTTTACTTCACGGTATCAAATATTATTATTAAACATGGTTATACGTCATCTTATTTTTACTTTCAGTCAGCAGATTCTATGATGTTTGGTAGTCTACAAAAAGGCTCATTGGACATCATGGGTGCTGTGGTTGAATTAAGAGTAGGCGGACGACCTGGATTAGAATGGATATTAAGAATACAAAATCCTAGTATGTGTTCAGTATTTGAAGTAGCAACTTCATCAAAAGATACAGCATTGGAATGGATGTCCAGTATTAAAGAAACTGCTCAAAATGCCAGTGTCAGAGTAAATACACAAGTTTTTTATTTTTAAAAAATAATCTAATAATAA